GGCACAGCTACGCAGACAACGCAGACGGTGTCTGGCACAAGTACCGTGAGCACGAGTGCCACTGAAGGCAGCAGCACGACGCATTCCACCGTGAGCGGCACTGAGACTACAGTGAGCATCAGTTCGACGCCCTCTTCGACGGAGACCAGTAGCACCACGTCCTTCAGCAGCAGTGAGAGCAGCGCGCTCACGAGCGGCACAGGAAGCAGCACGACGACGCACAGCAGCGCCACTGTCTCCCTGACATCTGCAAGCGCAACAAGCTCCAGCGAGAGCAGCACCACAACTCTGACCAGCACAAGCGCTACCAGCAGCACGCTGACCAGCACTGGGAGCACGGTCAGCATGACTAGTACAGTTACGCGGACAACACGGACTGTGTCTAGCACAAGTGCAGCCAGCACGACTGCGACCGAAAGCAGCAGCACGTCGCATTCCAGTGCGAGTGATACGGATACCTCAGGGAGCTTCAGCACGACTCAATCGTCGACGGCAACCAGTAGCGCCACGCTGATTAGCAGCACCACAACTCTGACCAGCACCAGCACTACAAGCAGCACGCTGACCAGCACCGTGAGCACTGTTAGCATCAGTGGCACAGCTACGCAGACAACGCAGACGGTGTCCGGCACAAGTACCGTGAGCACGAGTGCCATTGCAGGCAGCAGCACGACGCATTCCACCGTGAGCGGCACTGAGACTACAGTGAGCATCAGTTCGACGCCCTCTTCGATGGAGACCAGTAGCACCACGTCCGTCAGCAGCAGTGAGAGCAGCGCGCTCACGAGCGGCACAGGAAGCAGCACGACGACGCACAGCAGCGCCACTGTCTCCCTGACATCTGCAAGCGCAACAAGCTCCAGCGAGAGCAGCACCACAACTCTGACCAGCACAAGCGCTACCAGCAGCATGAACGCAACTGGGACTATGTCAAGCACAAGCACCACCGAGAGCAGCACCGCGACGCCTAGCAGCGTAAGCAGCAGCCGGACTACACATAGCATCAGCTCAGTTCGCTCCTCGACAGAGACCGGTAGTATTACGCTGACTACCAGTACCAAGAGTAGCACGCAATCCACGTTCACGAGTAGCAGCGAGAGCAGCAGCATAACTCTGACCAGCACAGCCAGCAGCGCGAGCACTGTTAGTATGAGCAGCACAGCTACGCGGACATCGTGGACGGTGTCTAGCACAAGCGTAGCCAGCACGTCTCCAACTGGAAGCAGCAGCACGTCGCATTCCAGTGCGAGTGACACGGATACCTCAGGGAGCTTCAGCACAACTCAATCGTCGACGGCAACCAGTAGCGCCACGCTGATTAGCAGCACCACAACTCTGACCCGCACCAGCACTACAAGCAGCACGCTGACCAGCACCGTAAGCACCGTTAGCATCAGTGGCACAGCTACACAGACAACGCAGACAGTGTCTGGCACAAGTACCGGGAGCACGAGTGCCACTGAAGGAAGCAGCACGACGCATTCCACCGCGAGCGGCACTGAGACTACAGTGAGCATCAGTTCGACGCCCTCTTCGACGGAGACCAGTAGCACCACGTCCGTCAGCAGCAGTGAGAGCAGCGCGCTCACGAGCGGCACAGGAAGCAGCACGACGACGCACAGCAGCGCCACTGTCTCCCTGACATCTGCAAGCGCAACAAGCTCCAGCGAGAGCAGCACCACAACTCTGACCAGCACAAGCGCTACCAGCAGCACGCAGACCAGCACTGGGAGCACGGTCAGCATGACTAGTACAGTTACGCGGACAACATGGACTGTGTCTAGCACAAGTGCAGCCAGCACGACTGCGACCGAAAGCAGCAGCACGTCGCATTCCAGTGCGAGTGATACGGATACCTCAGGGAGCTTCAGCACGACTCAATCGTCGACGGCAACCAGTAGCGCCACGCTGCTTAGCAGCACCACAACTCTGACCCGCACCAGCACTACAAGCAGCACGCTGACCAGCACCGTAAGCACCGTTAGCATCAGTGGCACAGCTACACAGACAACGCAGACAGTGTCTGGCACAAGTACCGGGAGCACGAGTGCCACTGAAGGCAGCAGCACGACGCATTCCACCGCGAGCGGCACTGAGACTACAGTGAGCATCAGTTCGACGCCCTCTTCGACGGAGACCAGTAGCACCACGTCCGTCAGCAGCAGTGAGAGCAGCGCGCTCACGAGCGGCACAGGAAGCAGCACGACGACGCACAGCAGCGCCACTGTTTCTCTGACATCTGCAAGCGCAACAAGCTCCAGCGAGAGCAGCACCACAACTCTGACCAGCACAAGCGCTACCAGCAGCACGCAGACCAGCACTGGGAGCACGGTCAGCATGACTAGTACAGTTACGCGGACAACATGGACTGTGTCTAGCACAAGTGCAGCCAGCACGGCTGCGACCGAAAGCAGCAGCACGTCGCATTCCAGTGCGAGTGATACGGATACCTCAGGGAGCTTCAGCACGACTCAATCGTCGACGGCAACCAGTAGTGCCACGCTGCTTAGCAGCACCACAACTCTGACCAGCACCAGCACTACAAGCAGCACGCTGACCAGCACCGTAAGCACCGTTAGCAGCAGTGGCACAGCTACGCAGACAACGCAGACGGTGTCTGGCACAAGTACCGTGAGCACGAGTGCCACTGAAGGCAGCAGCACGACGCATTCCACCGTGAGCGGCATTGAGACTACAGTGAGCATCAGTTCGACGCCCTCTTCGACGGAGACCAGTAGCACCACGTCCTTCAGCAGCAGTGCGAGCAGCGCGCTCACGAGCGGCACAGGAAGCAGCACGACGACGCACAGCAGCGCCACTGTCTCCCTGACATCTGCAAGCGCAACAAGCTCCAGCGAGAGCAGCACCACAACTCTGACCAGCACAAGCGCTACCAGCAGCACGCAGACCAGCACTGGGAGCACGGTCAGCATGACTAGTACAGTTACGCGGACAACATGGACTGTGTCTAGCACAAGTGCAGCCAGCACGACTGCGACCGAAAGCAGCAGCACGTCGCATTCCAGTGTGAGTGATACGGATACCTCAGGGAGCTTCAGCACGACTCAATCATCGACGGCAACCAGTAGCGCCACGCTGATTAGCAGCACCACAACTCTGACCAGCACCAGCACTACAAGCAGCACGCTGACCAGCACCTTAAGCACCGCTAGCATCAGTGGCACAGCTACGCAGACAACGCAGACGGTGTCTGGCACAAGTACCGTGAGCACGAGTGCCATCGAAGGCAGCAGCACGACGCACTCCACCGTGAGCAGCACTGAGACTACAGTGAGCATCAGTTCGACGCCCTCTTCGACGGAGACCAGTAGCACCACGTCCTTCAGTAGCAGTGAGAGCAGCGCGCTCACGAGCGGCACGGTAAGCAGCACGACGACGCACAGCAGCGCCACTGTTTCTCTGACATCTGCAAGCGCAACAAGCTCCAGCGAGAGCAGCACCACAACTCTGACCAGCACAAGCGCTACCAGCAGCACGCTGACCAGCACTGGGAGCACGGTCAGCATGACTAGTACAGTTACGCGGACAACACGGACTGTGTCTAGCACAAGTGCAGCCAGCACGACTGCGACTGAAAGCAGCAGCACGACGCATTCCAGTGCGAGTGATACGGATACCTCAGGGAGCTTCAGCACGACGCAGTCTTCGACGACAACCAGTACCGCCACGCTGGTTAGCAGCACCACAGCTCTGACCAGCACCAGCGAAACCAGCAGCACGCTGACCAGCAAGAGTAACACACAATCTACGGTCACGAGTGGCACAGAAAGCAGCACGTCGACACATAGCAGCGCCAGCGTCTCCCAAACAAGTGCGAGCTCAACGAGCTCCAGCGAGACCAGCACCACAACTCTGACCAGCACCAGCGCTACAAGCAGCACGCTGACCAGCAGTGGAAGCACTGCTAGCATGAGTAGCACAGTTACGCGGACAACACAGACGCTGTCTGGGACAAGCACTGTGAGCACGACTGCGACTGAAAGCAGCAGCACGACGCATTCCAGTGCGAGTGGCACTCACACCACAGGGAGCTTCAGCACGACACAGTCCTCGACGACAACCAGTACCGCCACGCTGGTTAGCAGCACCACAACTCTGACCAGCACCAGCGAAACCAGCAGCACACTGACCAGCAAGAGTAACACAGAATCTACGGTCACGAGTGGCACAGAAAGCAGCACGTCGACGCTTAGCAGCGCCAGCGTCTCCCAAACAAGAACGAGCTCAACGAGCTCCAGCGAGACCAGCACCACAACTCTGACCAGCACTAGCGCTACAAGCAGCACGCTGACCAGCAGTGGGAGCACTGCTAGCATGAGTAGTACAGTTACGCGGACAACACGGACGCTGTCCGGTACAAGTATTGTGAGCACGAGTGCCACTGAAAGCAGCAGCACGACGCATTCCAGTGCGAGTGGCACTCACACCACAGGGAGTTTCAGCACGACGCAGTCTTCGACGACAACCAGTACCGCCACGCTGGTTAGCAGCACCACAGCTCTGACCAGCACCAGCGCTACAAGCAGCAGCACGCTGACCAGCAAAAGTAACACACAATCTACGGTCACGAGTGGCACAGAAAGCAGCACGTCGACCCACAGCAGCGCCAGCGTCGCCCAAACAACTGTGAGCTCAGCGAGCTCCAGCGAGACCAGCACCACAGCTCTGACTAGCACCAGCGCTACAAGCAGCACGCTCACCAGCAGTGGAAGCACTGCTAGCATGAGTAGCACAGTTACGCGGACAACACGGACGCTGTCCGGTACAAGCACTGTGAGCACGAGTGCCACTGAAAGCAGCAGCACGACGCATTCCAGTGCGAGTGGCACTCACACCACAGGGAGTTTCAGCACGACGCAGTCTTCGACGACAACCAGTACCGCCACGCTGGTTAGCAGCACCACAACTCTGACCAGCACCAGCGAAACCAGCAGCACACTGACCAGCAAGAGTAACACACAATCTACGGTCACGAGTGGCACAGAAAGCAGCACGTCGACGCTTAGCAGCGTCTCCCAAACAAGTGCGAGCTCAACGAGCTCCAGCGAGACCAGCACCACAACTCTGACCAGCACCAGCGCTACAAGCAGCACGCTCACCAGCAGTGGAAGCACTGCTAGCATGAGTAGCACAGTTACGCGGACAACACGGACGCTGTCCGGTACAAGCACTGTGAGCACGAGTGCCACTGAAAGCAGCAGCACGACGCATTCCAGTGCGAGTGGCACTCACACCACAGGGAGTTTCAGCACGACACAGTCTTCGACGACAACCAGTGCCGCCACGCTGGTTAGCAGCACCACAGCTCTGACCAGCACCAGCGAAACCAGCAGCACGCTGACCAGCAAGAGTAACACAGAATCTACGGTCACGAGTGGCACAGAAAGCAGCACGTCGACGCATAGCAGCGCCAGCGTCTCCCAAACAACTGCTAGCTCAACGAGCTCCAGCGAGACCAGCACCACAGCTCTGACCAGCACCAGCGCTACAAGCAGCACGCTCACCAGCAGTGGAAGCACTGCTAGCATGAGTAGCACAGTTACGCGGACAACACGGACGCTGTCCGGTACAAGCACTGTGAGCACGAGTGCCACTGAAAGCAGCAGCACGACGCATTCCAGTGCGAGTGGCACTCACACCACAGGGAGTTTCAGCACGACACAGTCTTCGACGACAACCAGTACCGCCACGCTGGTTAGCAGCACCACAACTCTGACCAGCACCAGCGAAACCAGCAGCACACTGACCAGCAAGAGTAACACACAATCTACGGTCACGAGTGGCACAGAAAGCAGCACGTCGACGCTTAGCAGCGTCTCCCAAACAAGTGCGAGCTCAACGAGCTCCAGCGAGACCAGCACCACAACTCTGACCAGCACCAGCGCTACAAGCAGCACGCTCACCAGCAGTGGAAGCACTGCTAGCATGAGTAGCACAGTTACGCGGACAACACGGACGCTGTCCGGTACAAGCATTGTGAGCACGAGTGCCACTGAAAGCAGCAGCACGACGCATTCCAGTGCGAGTGGCACTCACACCACAGGGAGTTTCAGCACGACACAGTCTTCGACGACAACCAGTGCCGCCACGCTGGTTAGCAGCACCACAGCTCTGACCAGCACCAGCGAAACCAGCAGCACGCTGACCAGCAAGAGTAACACAGAATCTACGGTCACGAGTGGCACAGAAAGCAGCACGTCGACGCATAGCAGCGCCAGCGTCTCCCAAACAACTGCTAGCTCAACGAGCTCCAGCGAGACCAGCACCACAGCTCTGACCAGCACCAGCGCTACAAGCAGCACGCTGACCAGCAGTGGAAGCACTGCTAGCATGAGTAGCACAGTTACGCGGACAACACGGACGCTGTCCGGTACAAGCACTGTGAGCACGAGTGCCACTGAAAGCAGCAGCACGACGCATTCCAGTGCGAGTGGCACTCACACCACAGGGAGTTTCAGCACGACACAGTCTTCGACGACAACCAGTACCGCCACGCTGGTTAGCAGCACCACAATTCTGACCAGCACCAGCGAAACCAGCAGCACACTGACCAGCAAGAGTAACACACAATCTACGGTCACGAGTGGCACAGAAAGCAGCACGTCGACGCACAGCAGCGCCAGCGTCTCCCAAACAAGTGCGAGCTCAACGAGCTCCAGCGAGACCAGCACCACAACTCTGACCAGCACCAGCGCTACAAGCAGCACGCTGACCAGCAGTGGAAGCACTGCTAGCTTGAGTAGCACAGTTACGCGGACAACACGGACGCTGTCCGGTACAAGCACTGTGAGCACGAGTGCCACTGAAAGCAGCAGCACGACGCATTCCAGTGCGAGTGGCACTCACACCACAGGGAGTTTCAGCACGACACAGTCTTCGACGACAACCAGTACCGCCACGCTGGTTAGCAGCACCACAACTCTGACCAGCACCAGCGAAACCAGCAGCACACTGACCAGCAAGAGTAACACACAATCTACTGTCACGAGTGGCACAGAAAGCAGCACGTCGACGCATAGCAGCGCCAGCGTCTCCCAAACAAGTGCGAGCTCAACGAGCTCCAGCGAGACCAGCACCACAACTCTGACCAGCACCAGGAGCTTCAGCACGACACAGTCTTCGACCGAAACCAGAAGCCTCACGTCGACAAGCAGCACCACAACTCTGGCTAGCACCAGCGCTACCAGGAGCACGCTGACCAGCACTGCGAGCACCATTAGCATCAGCAGCACAGCTACGCGGACAACGCAGACGGTATCCAGCATAAGCAAGACCACACCGACTGGCACGAGTTCTACCAGCAGCACGCCAACCAGCAGCGACAGTACGAATGTTGGGAACCCAGCTGTCTTCGAGGCAGTTTTTGAGCTGTCCGTGCAGGATGCAGCTTCCTTCGTTGCAGACGTTGACGTCGTCTCGGCGCTGGAGAGCTCGTTCGCAGACCTGGGCGGCGTGGCAGAGTCGAGCGTGGCGGTAGCCCTGTCGCTGCAGAGCTCGAGACGGGCTCTCACGGCGGACGCCGGGCGCGAGCTGACCAGTGCCTCCGGCAGCGTTCTCATGACGGTCGCGTACACCGTCGAGGGGGAAGCTGCAGCGAACAGCGTGGCCTCCACGATCGAGTCCCAGTCGGCTCTTCAGGTGGCTGCGGTGATGGAGTCGGCCACGAACTATCGAGCAGCCTGCGGCCCATCCCGCTGCTGGGCCTGGACTGTGGGTCGGAGTCCTCGGGGATGCTTCTTGGGGTCTCTCCGGAGCGTTTTCGGGTGCCTCTCGGGTGCAGTTTGGCGGCCTCTTGGGAGCCTCTTGGGAGCCTCTTGGGGGCCCCTTGGGGCTTTCTTGGGGGCCTTTTGGGGGCTTCCTGGGGACCTATTGGGAACCTCTTGGGGGCCTCTTCGGGCCCTCTCGGCCTGTCCGGGGGCCGTCTAGGGCCCGAATAAAATCATGCGACAAGCGGACTCGGACCGCGAGAGATTTGGCAGTTTGTGGTCCGAGTCTTTTTTAAGAATCTCTGTTCCAGAGGACCGGGAACTGACCTGAGGACACGCCCACTTCGTGCCCGAAGGCACGGTGGCGGATACCATCAGTGTAGACAGCATGATTGTCCTCCCAGCTTACACGCTCACTTCCACAGGCACATTCACTTTCACCAGTGTGAGCACTGACAGCATCACTAGTACGGTAACCTGGACAACGCGGACGGTGTCTGGCACAAGCACAGCAAGTACGAGTGCAAGTGCAAGTAGCAGCACAACGCATTCCAGTGTGAGCGGCACGGACACAACAGGGAGCTTCAGCACAACACAGTCGACGACCGCAACGAGTAGCGCCACGCTGACCAGCAGTAGCAAGAGTAGCACACAATCTACAGCCACGAGTGCCACAGGAAGCAGCACAGCGACGCACAGCAGCGCCAGTGTCTCCCAGACAAGTGCTAGCCCGACAAGCTTCAGCGAGAGCAGCACCACAAGTCTCACCAGCAAGACCACCAGTGTGAGCACTGACAGCATCACTAGCACGTCAACGCGGACAACGGAGACACTGTCCGGCACAAGCACCGTGAGCACGAGTGCAAGTGCAAGCAGCAGCACGACGCATTCCAGTGTGAGCGGCACGGACACAACAGGGAGCTTCAGCACGACACAGTCGACGACCGCAACGAGTAGCGCCACGCTGACCAGCAGTAGCAAGAGTAGCACACAATCTACGGCCACGAGCGCCACAGGAAGCAGCACAGCGACGCATAGCAGCACCAGTGCCTCCCAAACAAGTGCTAGCCCCACAAGCTTCAGCGAGAGCAGCACCACAAGTCTCACCAGCACAACCACCAGTGTGAGCACTGACAGCATCACTAGCACGTCAACGCGGACAACGGAGACACTGTCCGGCACAAGCACCGTGAGCACGAGTGCAAGTGCAAGCAGCAGCACGACACATTCCAGTGTGAGCGGCACGGACACAACAGGGAGCTTCAGCACGACACAGTCTTCGACCGCAACGAGTAGCGCCACGCTGACCAGCAGTAGCAAGAGTAGTACACAATCTACGGCCACGAGTGCCACAGGAAGCAGCACGACGACGCACAGCAGCGTCAGTGTCTCCCAGACAAGTACTAGCCCGACAAGCTTCAGCGAGAGCAGCACCACAAGTCTCACCAGCAAGACCACCAGCGCGAGCACTGACAGCATCACTAGCACGGTAACCCGGACAACACGGACGGTGTCTGGCACAAGCACCGTGAGCATGAGTGCAAGTGCAAGCAGCAGCACGACATATTCCAGTGTGAGCGGCACGGACACAACAGGGAGCTTCAGCACGACACAGTCGACGACCGCAACGAGTAGCGCCACGCTGACCAGCAGTAGCAAGAGTAGCACACAATCTACGGCCACGAGCGCCACAGGAAGCAGCACAGCGACGCACAGCAGCGTCAGTGTCTCCCAGACAAGTGCTAGCCCGACAAGCTTCAGCGAGAGCAGCACCACAAGTCTCACCAGCAAGACCACCAGTGTGAGCACTGACAGCATCACTAGCACGTCAACGCGGACAACGGAGACACTGTCCGGCACAAGCACCGTGAGCACGAGTGCAAGTGCAAGCAGCAGCACGACGCATTCCAGTGTGAGCGGCACGGACACAACAGGGAGCTTCAGCACGACACAGTCGACGACCGCAACGAGTAGCGCCACGCTGACCAGCAGTAGCAAGAGTAGCACACAATCTACGGCCACGAGCGCCACAGGAAGCAGCACAGCGACGCACAGCAGCGTCAGTGTCTCCCAGACAAGTACTAGCCCGACAAGCTTCAGCGAGAGCAGCACCACAAGTCTCACCAGCAAGACCACCAGTGTGAGCACTGACAGCATCACTAGCACGGTAACCCCGACAACACGGACGGTGTCTGGCACAAGCACCGTGAGCACGAGTGCAAGTGCAAGCAGCAGCACGACGCATTCCAGTGTGAGCGGCACGGACACAACAGGGAGCTTCAGCACGACACAGTCGACGACCGCAACGAGTAGCGCCACGCTGACCAGCAGTAGCAAGAGTAGCACACAATCTACGGCCACGAGCGCCACAGGAAGCAGCACAGCGACGCACAGCAGCGTCAGTGTCTCCCAGACAAGTGCTAGTCCGACAAGCTTCAGCGAGAGCAGCACCACAAGTCTCACCAGCAAGACCACCAGTGTGAGCACTGACAGCATCACTAGCACGGTAACCCGGACAACACGGACGGTGTCTGGCACAAGCACCGTGAGCACGAGTGCAAGTGCAAGCAGCAGCACGACGCATTCCAGTGTGAGCGGCACGGACACAACAGGGAGCTTCAGCACGACACAGTCTTCGACCGCAACGAGTAGCGCCACGCTGACCAGCAGTAGCAAGAGTAGCACACAATCTACGGCCACGAGTGCCACAGGAAGCAGCACGACGACGCACAGCAGCGTCAGTGTCTCCCAGACAAGTACTAGCCCGACAAGCTTCAGCGAGAGCAGCACCACAAGTCTCACCAGCACAACCTCCAGTGTAAGCACTGACAGCATCACTAGCACGGTAACCCCGACAACACGGACGGTGTCTGGCACAAGCACCGTGAGCACGAGTGCAAGTGCAAGCAGCAGCACGACGCATTCCAGCGTGAGCGGCACGGACACAACAGGGAGCTTCAGCACGACACAGTCTTCGACCGCAACGAGTAGCGCCACGCTGACCAGCAGTAGCAAGAGTAGCACACAATCTACGGCCACGAGTGGCACAGAAAGTAGCACGTCGACGCACAGCAGCGCCAGCGTCTCCCAAACAACTGCGAGCTCAACGAGCTCCAGCGAGACCAGCACCACAATTCTGACCAGCACCAGCGCTACAAGCAGCACGCTGACCAGCAGTGGGAGCACCACTAGCATGAGCAGCACGGTCGCGTGGACGACACGGACGCCGTCCGGCACAGGCACCGCGAGCTCGGGTGCCACGGAAAGCAGCAGCACGGCGCATTCCAGCGTGAGCGGCAATGACACAACAGGGACCTTCACCACAACTGGCAGCACGACCAGTAGCACCACTCTCATCAAGACAAGCTCCACCACTGTGTCAACGGCGACGCTTGCCGCCGGTTGGGTATTGGGGGCCGTCCACGCCTCCTGCTCGACCGCGTGCACTGACGCAGGCCTGCATTGCAGCGAGGAGCCGGGCAGGGAACGGTGGAAGCGTTGAGGGAAAAAGGGGGGGGGAGGGAAACGCAAAGGGGGAGGGGGCTCGAGTCAGGGAGATGCTTCGATGATCCTACGCCGTAGTCCCTCTCTCTTTCTCTTTCTCTCTCTCTATCTTTATCTCTCGCTCTCTCCCCCTCTCTCTCGCTCTCTCTTTCCTCGTTCTCTCTATCTTCATCGCCTCTCTTTCTTTATTTCTTTCTTCCTCTCTCTCCCTCTCTTTACTTTCTTTCTGTCTCCCTATACTGGCTGTCGGCCGCATGGGTTTTGAGTGAGCCGATTGTGTTTTCCCGTTGCGGCTGCCAGTTAAGATGATGATGATGCTGATGATGATGATGCTGATGATGATGATGATGTTGATGATGAGGTTGATGATGACGACTATGATTATGGTTCTGACTATGACGACGACACTGGTGACACTGTTGATGATGATGATTATGATGATGATGATGATGATGATGATGATGATGATGATGATGATGATGATGATGACGATGATGACGATGATGACGATGATGACGATGACGATGACGATGACGATGACGCTGACGCTGACGCTGACGATGACGACGATCATCATCGTGATCATAGCCCGATCTTTAGATGAGCATCTTTGCCACTGGCACTGCAGGAGGGGGCCGTCCGTACCCTTTGCTTGCTCGAGCTCGTCATGCAACCGAGCCCCAGTGAAAAAAAAAAAACAAAAAAAAAATAAATAAATAAAAATGCAACCGAGCCCCAGTGTCTCGGCCACGAGAGCCTGGCTGGCAGCTCGAACGGCCCGCTGCTGGTGCGGACCGCCCCTGGCGCACGGCGGCCCCGCCGCGCCCGCGCGGCCCAGACCTGCGCTGCGCGGAGGCGCCCGCGCGTCCGGCTCTCCAGTGCCCCGCGGCTCCGACGCTGCATTGCGCTCCGCCGGGGTGCGCGGCGCCGTCCGAGGCCCCTGTGCCAGACGCGATGGCGTCGTCGAAAAATCGGGGCGGGAGGTGTTTCGCTATGTTCGGCCCCTGGGGGCCCTCGCCGGGCCTCGGGGCCGTCAAAAAACGATTCAGGACGAAAAACCGGTCCCAGGGAAAGGGTCAGGACTTGCGGGGACGCCGTCCTGACAAAAAGCAGGACGTCGCATATCTGGGGTGCGAGTGGAAGCCCCAGACACGCGACGTCCGGATTTTTTCAGGATCGATGGCGTCTCTGCAAGGCCCGACCAGTTTCCCAGGACCGGTTCTTCATCCTGAGTCGTTTTTTGGCGGTCCCGAGGCCCGGCGAGGGCCCCCCAGGGCCGAACATGGTCAAAAACCGCCCGTCCTAATTTTTTAACGACGCGATCATGTCTGGGAAGCACCACCGCCTGCGCGGGAGGCGCCGCCGGCGCGCGCGGAGGGAGCCGCCTCCGCCCCGGCGCAGCCGAGCGCCACATGCAGTTGGAGCGCCCTGGGCTGGGCGGCGGGGCTGGCGCTGCACGTGCATCGGCGGGAGCATCGGCATCGTGGTGCACGGCTCCCTCGGTCCTCCCTCTCGAAGCCCAAACAGCCAAGCCGCTGAAATAAGGACTGGGCTCAGGAGGGGCTCCTCCTCCTCCTCCTCCTCCTCCTCCTCCTCCTCCTCCTCCTCCTCCTCCTCCTCCTCCTGGGTGCTCGTGGTGGTTGGGCTGGCGGCGCAGTCGTGCTGGAGGTTCTTGTGGAGTCAACGGCAGCGTCCCCAGGCACGATGGCGTCGTAAAAAAGTCAGGGCGGGAGGTGTTTCTATTTTCGGCCCCCGGGGGGCCCTCGCCGCGCCTCGGGACCGTCAAGAAACGACTCAGGATGAAAAACCGGTCCCGGGGAAGGGGTCGGGACTTCCAGGGACGCCGTCTTGAAAAAAACAGGACGTCGCATGTCTGGGGCAGCGTCCTCGTCTCGCCCTCCGAGATGGCCCTGGTACAGGTGCAGGAGTTGGCGTGGGCCCAATACGCGGGAACCGCTCTCTTCCGTCAACGTCTGGTGCTGGGAGTCTTGGCGGGTACTCCAGCGGCAGCGATTGAGGTGGTGGCGGCCACGCCCGACGGGGATGTGTACTGCGAGGTGTACGGCGGGACGGACCCGAACGTGGCGGCGGTGCGGTGGAGTGACTCTCGCAGTTCGCCGCCGCCGGGGGTGCCGAGGGACTCGTGCCGCTTCCGACGTGAGCCGACGCCGGCCGAGCTCCAGGAGTTCCAGAGGCTGGCGAGGCTGGCCGCTCGGGACGAGCTCGTGCTGCGCGACCAGCGCGACGGCGCCCGGCGTGGTGCCCGCGGGAGGCGCCCTGCTGCCGCTGGCGGCCGAGGCCGGGAGAGGCCCCCATCGTCTCCCTGGGCAGGGCGAGGGCGGGGCTCGCCCCCGTGGGGGGTGGAGAGGCCTCCTCGGGGCGCCCCCCCCCGCGCGGGCGCGGCCCGCGGCTGCTGCTGCTGCCGCTGCTGGGGCCGCCGCCGGGGCCCCCGCTGGAGGCCGCCGGCGCGCGGGCCCCCCGCGCCGCCCAGGGCCGACGAGCTGGCGCGGGTCGCCACCGAGGCGCGGCGCGGCCTCGAGCGCGGGAGGGCCGCCTTCCCGGGCGCGGGGGTGCCGCCGAGCCTCGGAGGCGCGGGGCCCCACCAGGTGCCAGGGGCGAGCCCTGGCCCGCGGGGGCCTGCAGCGGCGCTGGTCAGGAGGATGCCGTTCCGCGAGCGGGGCGCGTTCATGCGGAGCGAGGGTGTCGCCGATGCCAGGGTCATGTCGATCGAGGTGGTAGGTGACCGCCATCAGAGGAGACCCTGGAGACAGGTGGTCGCGAGCTCGGCGTCGTGATCCCCCTTTCTCGGACTGGCCGGTCCAGGGCCCCAGGACGGTGGAGTGGGTGATGCGATTCCTCGATCGTCGTGGAGGCGGGTCTGGAGATCACCGCGCATGGTGGCGCCAGGTCAACCGTCTCCAGCGGGGCGACCGGGGGGGCGAGGCGCACGAGAACGGACTGCGGGCTGTGGAGATGGCCGCCAGCTCCGACGCCCTTGAGATCGCCAACCTTGCGTGTCTCGAGATCATTGCGACTGGGGGGGCGAGGCGCACGAGAACGGACCGCGGGCTGTGGCGATGGCCGCCAGCTCCGACGCCCTTGAGATCGCCAACCTTCCCAGACATGCGACGTCCTGATTTTTTCAGGACGGCGTCCCCAAAAGTCCCGACCCTTTCCCCGGGGCCGGTTTTTCATCCCGAGTCGTTTTTTGACGGTCCCGAGGCCCGGCGAGGGCCCCCAGGGGCCGAAAATAACGAAAAACCTCCCGTCCTGAATTTTTCACGACGCCATCATGTCTGGGTTGCGTGCCTCGAGATCATTGCGAGACCGTGCGAGCTCGTCGAGCGTGCTTTTTCCACGGGAGCTGGTCGGCCCCGGCCGGGGCGCCAAGCCCCCGAGAACGGGCGGCAACAGGGCGGCACCAATGACAACAATCACGGGGAAGGCCGAGGGCGAGCTGGGCCCCTCGAGGAGGGCAGCGTTTTCAGGGGGCGACATCGTGAAGAAAGGATTGCAAAAAAAACAAACAAAACAACTTGCAAAAAAAACAAAAAACAAAAAACAACAACAACAAAAAACGAAGGATTGCAAAAAACGAAGGATTGCAACAACAAAAAAAAACAAAAAACTAAGGATTGCAAAAAAAAAAAAACGAAGGATTGCAAAAAAACCCTCGAGGAGGGCAGGGTTTTCATGGGGCGACATCGTGAAGCAGGGAAAATCGATCGATGGCGTCGCCCGACCTGTTCGACGTCGCGGCGCGGGAGGTCGAGGGGGCTGCGAGGCGCGCTGAAGCAGGTGCGGGAGGCTCGCGAGGAATGCCGCGAACAAGGCAATGGCGCTCGATGGGCGTCCCCGGGCCTCCTCCTCCTCCTCCTCCTCCTCCTCCTCCTGCTCCTCCTCCTCCTCTCCTGGCGGGAACCGCAGGGCCGAATTCGCTCGCGGCGATGGCGAGGCTCGCCCTCGGCAGCGAGATCTTTTTCCTCTGCCGCTACTGGTGGGCGTCGACCCCCTGTGCCCGGCCTCTCCCCCCGTGCGCGTCGCGCGACGCGTCGTCGGGCACAGCGGCAGGCCGCAGGCAGAGGCGTCGGCGGCGAGAGCCGTCGATGCTGACCGCAGAGGCAGGACGATGCTGCTGAGAAACAGCTCGGATCCCAGCAGGCCCCAGAACGCGAGCATGCGGGAGAAGGTCGTGCCCAACTCCTGCCCCTGATGCCTCTTGGAGACAGCTCGAATCTCAGCAGGCTCCAGAACGCGAGCATGCGGGAGAAGGTCGTGCCCAACTCCTGCCCCTGAGCCCGAGCCCCATGTGGCGGCGAACTTGTCGCCTTCCGCCCGAAGCAGCGAGACTGGGTCGCAAACGATGGTCACACATCGAGACACAGTGGTGGTCGGCTTCCAAGGCTCGGGATCCCTGATAGCTTTTTGCGCGCTGCGACCTCCAGCATCGATGCCCTTCTCACCCACTCGCGCCACTCTTTCTGCGACTCCGTCGCGGAGGTGGCCTTGGCAGTGGAGACGGCGAGCGCAACCTGAGCGATCAGGTCGTCCAGATCCGAAATAAACTCAGGATCAACATCAGGCAGCACGGCGCATCTAGCCAAGGCCCCGCCAGCTCTGAAGAAAGAGAAGAAGTCCGTGCCTTCTTTCTCCGCCACGGCCTCAGGGGGCTGGATGATCGAGCGGAGCGCCTGACGTCCAGCCCCCCGCAAGGTCGATTCAGAGAGGTAGCGCCTCACTGCTCGCAACTGGTTGCGCAACCATTGGGCAGCGCGCAAGTCTGGCTGCTTCTCTCTGCCAGCAGGTTTCAAAACAGATTTCCAGTAGACTCGAGGCCGCTTGCCCCCCATCCCCAGGGTTTTGAGGTCGGACCCCAGGGCGAGCACCAGGTCCCTCTCCGCAGAGTCAGCCCAAACCTTGTAGCCAGGATTGAGCAGTCTACGGGCTTCAATCCCATCCCCGGCTTCCACCGCTCCAGAAGCTTCTTCGGCCAAGTCAAGCGCGGCCTCCCAGGGGCCGGGCCGAGGGGGCAGGCCCGACAGGCGCCGACGCAGGCAACGAATGGGGGCTGGCGGACAGGGAAGTGGTCGTTCTTGTGTGAGTGGTCGTGTTCTGTGTCGATACCGTACATTACGGACGTGTAGGAGATGGAGTCGAAGAGCTCGTGGCCAACCACTATGTAGTCCAGTCTGTGCACGTCCTTGCCTGAGTCCCATGTGTAGTGGTCCTGGCCTCCGCTTTTGAAGGTATTCGAGGGAGGGCCTTAAGATCTCCGAGGGAGCTACGAACGCGGAACGACACAGGACGGCGAGGGGCGACGCGGGACCCCGCCCCCGCCGAGGACGAGGAGGAGGACGGCAAGGAGGACGAGGAGGAGGAGGCCCCCCTCGTCCTCCGTCCTCCTTGCCGTCCTCCTCGTCCTTGCCGACCCCTGTCCTTGCCGCCTGTCCTTGCCTCCTCGTCCCCCGCCCGTCCTCCTCGTCCTCCTCTCCTTGACACATTCCACTCCGACTGGTTTCAAGCAGAGGCTCAGGGCCTCAGAAGCCACAAAAGAATCAAAGCGATCAGGATAGGAGCCCCCCGACTCGGAGAGCGCGCGTGTCCTCCGGGCACAATCGAGGAGGCTCTGCGACGACTGACAAAGCTCGAGGACTCCAGGACCTCAGGGCCCATGTTCCAGTCAGTTCCCACAATGAACACGCGGCCCAAATGGTCCAAGAACTCCCCAGCAACACGCAGAATTTCAAGATTGGAGTCCGAGAGACCTTCGCTGTGGACGAGGTAGAGGCTGCAGATGCACCATGGTCGCCACAGCCCTGCCAGCGCATGAAGTAGTGCGATCCCCAGCTTCAAAAAGGCCAAGGCCATCGCGAACACAAACGCATACACCCGAAGAAACACCTCCTCCTTCCCCAGGTACTCCAGGAGCCCACAGAGCTTTCCAGCCCACGAACTTGGAAGATTTCGAAGCTTGGTCAAGAGCCCCTGTATCCAACAACCGGTGCTCTTGAGCGGTAACCGCGTGGGCCTTCGAGGTGGAGAGGTAATATTTGAGCGTGCCCCAAGTGTTGGCGCTGGCATTGGTGACCAGGAGCCCCTCGTCAAGCCTGATCGCGCAGTCAGTGACCGCGCTCTGGGCAGCTGGGGTTCGAGCTGAGCTTGTACCAGAAAAAGAGGCATCGGATTGCGGCAAGCGCGCGACTGGTTGCTCCACCAACGGGGCTTCACCAGTCTTCACAGCGCGCCATTTCCCGACCGCGCCAGGCAGAGGCAGAGAGGAGACGCGAGTGGCCCCGTGGCTTTCTGGGGGCACCCGAATTTCAGAAGGCAAAAGAGGGGCATCAAAAGAGACTCCGACAGCCTCATGGCCGAAGGCGCCCTGGAGGCGCCAAAATAACCGAATCCCTGAGGCCTGGGACCTGGAGCCAATCGCAGACACTCTCGAGGCTAAACAATTAAAAAGATCCCAGGAGGGTTTCAAGCCTGGGCCCCCACTCTCAGACTCACGGCCCCTGTCACGCGCCTGTGGCAGCGGGCGAGGATTCCTTGGGAGTCTGGTCAACCCTGGCTCGAATGTCCTCAGAGGGGGCAGCATCATCGGCTGCCGCGGCAGGCTGCGCAGAGGCAGAGGCACCTTCAGAAGCCGCCCCAGTTTCAGCAGGAGCCACACCAACGACCTCTCCTGCGCCAGCTCCCCCACCTGCAGCAGCTGCTCCATCTGCGACCTTGCGCTTCTTGGCAGCGAGCCGTGTGCGATGAGCTTCGTGCTGGTCTCGAAGTTTCTTGGCATGGTCCGCAACCTGCGCAAGCAGATCCCTCGCCAGCTTCGTGACTCCTGAAGACAGCTCCTCCTTGCGCTTCTGGAACTGCTCCACGTCACTCGCCTCAACCTCAGCCTCAAGCGAGATATCTTCCAGGATGTGACTGCAGTCAATGAACTTTGAGAGATCGACAGAGCCCGCAACCAGGTCCTCAAGCTTGAACGAACCTACCGTGGCCTGAGGCTCCTCCTCAGACTTGTGTGAGCCCTGCAACACAGCGAGCGAGGCCTTGTAGTCAGCATCCGCCTGGTTAACTTGGTCTCGCACCGTGCGCAGCGTGGCTTCCGCATCGACAAGCTGTTCACGCAAACGCACCACCTTACTGAGAGTCTGTTCCATCTGCTTCTCAAGCCGACGAACATCGGAATGAGCCTGCTGCGTGCGGGTGTGATCCGAAATGACAGCAGGCTTAGCGGCCGCCTCCAGATGACGCGCCATGTCCAGTGCTTGGTAGCCGCTCCGTTATCCTTCGCTTTTTGGAGCGACTCGCCCAGAGACTTGGCCTCTGCGGCGGAGATGGATGGTACTGGTCCCACAGGAAGTGGCGGGGCACCGTTTCCAGCTGCATCTCCCGGCTCTGCATCATCTTGACGAGCCAACGCATCCCACATGGAGGGGCCGCCTCCGAAATAACCTTTACTTTTGCCTTTACCACTGCCGTGAACACCTCCCCTGCCTTTACCTCCGAACGACCCCTTGCTGCCCGAGCCCTTGGAGCTGAAGCCGTTCCCGTACCAGTAGCATGGAGGACCAGCGAGAGCCCAGCGCCCATTGACAACGTGACCAGAGGCAGGAGAAAGCGTCGGAAGAGCGTTGGCACCGTGCTTACAATACTCGGCGTTGGCACTGCTCTTCCTGCAGCCACATCTGGGGCACACCATGCCCTTCGGCCCCCGACGACTGCCTTTTGTGCCCCATGGCTCCTCAGCACCTTGGGACCTGATCCACGGCGCAAGCGAGAAAGAATGGGCAGGCACCATCGCAAGGTTGAAGTAAAGTTGTGAAAGCGAGAGTTCCTTAAGCAGGACGTTTTGAGGAAATGTGCCGGGCGGGTGGGCGCCAGGGAAAGCTGTGGGGGCCGCAAATCCCCCAGGCCACAGTGCCAAGCCTGAGCGAAATGCTACGGACTTGAGCCAAAATGGCTACGGAAAAGAGGCCTCCTCCTCCTGCTCCTCCTCCTCCTGCTCCTCCTCCTCCTCCTCCTCCTCCCCCTCCTGCTCCTCCCTCTTCTACAGCCAAGGCACCGCCATCAGGGCTCATCGAGGATATCATCTTGCACTTCTGTTTGCAAGGACGAGGAGGAGGAGGAGGAGGAGGAGGAGGAGGAGGAGGAGGAGGAGGAGGGAGGAGGAGGAGGAGGAGAGGAGGACGACGACGACAAGGCGGAGGAGGAGGACGACGGCGGGCGGATGAGGAGGAGGAGGAGGAGGAGGAGGAGGAGGAGGAGGGACGAGGAGAGGAGGAGGAGGAACTGAGCTGGCAGGGTCCCCCCCGCTCTCAGCACCCCGATCTAGTGCAAAGCCGATCTTTGATAGGGGGGCCTTGCGCACAGCGGGCGCTATGCCAGCCCCCCGCGCCATCCTTGCCAAAGACCACGCAGATTGATCGCAGGGCGTCCGCGCATGATCCAGATGCTGGTGCAGTGCGCAACAGGGACTCGTCTCCGCAAGGGGGAGGAGGAGGAGGAGGAGGAGGAGGAGGAGGAGGAGGAGGAGGAGGAGGAGGAGGAGGAGGAGGAGGAGGAGGAGGAGGACAGGGTCGCGGTCTTGTCGTCGGCCGGGCGGTAAACCCTGCCCCGAAAGAGAACAAGGGGGAACGTGGAAAAAGGAACGCTCCAGACCACCAGCCCACCGGCGCCCCCAGGGGACGAGGAGGAGCGAGGAAGAGGGAGGGAGGAGGGAGAAGGGAGGAGGAGGAGGAGGAGGAGGAGGAGGAGGAGGAGGAGGAGGAGGAGGAGGAGGAGGAGGAGGAGTGGAGGAGGAGGGTGGAGGAGGAGGGTGGAGGAGGAGGCTCCTCGCCCCTGGAAGCAAGAGGGCTGGTGGGATTGTGCCAACATGGGCCCCCGCCGCGCCGGCCTGCCGGCCAGGAGGGGCTGCGGGCCAGCAACGCGGAGGTGGACTCCTCGGCGGAGCTGGGCGCCCTCATGGCGGCAGAGGGGCAGAAGTGCACGAGCTACACCACGTTTTTCGGCCAGGAGGGGTGTTTCCTTCCCCAGACCCCCTCGAGTAATGAAAAAATCATGACGGGAGGTTTTTCCTAATTTTCGGCCTCCGGGGGCCCTCACCGGGCCTCGGGAGCGTCAAAAAACGGCTCAGGATGCGAAGCCGGTCATGGGGAAAGGGTCGGGACCTCTGGGGGTCGACGTAATGAAAAAATCATTACGTCGGGGGTCTGGGTCCTACGCCCGCGTGTCGAGTCATGTCTTGGTCACTGGCCCAGTTCAAGGTCTCCGAGCTGGAGTGCTCTCTGCCATTGCATCGATGGCGGCAGCCCCGGCGAGTCGCTCACCCGTCCCAGCGGGCAGAGATCGATGAGAGGTTCAACAGGTTGTGGCCGCCGTGGTCAAAAACAATGCCGAGTGCCAAATCAGCAGTGGATGTTTCGGGGGGAATGCTATGTTCCGCATTGGGTGGCGCAGCGTTGGTGTGGGTTCATAGTTTGCGGTGAGGGAAGGAAGTCAGGGGAGGGGAAGGAATCAAGGTGAATTGTAGATCGGTAAAATCCTGCAGGACCCGACTGCCCCTTTGATTGAGACGGCCGTGAGACCTGGAAGGTGTTACGTGAGCGACTCCGACAGGGTTTTCTCCACGTTCTCGTGCGCCTATCAGCCAACCGCACCAAGTGCAAGCCAGAAGCGTCGACTATGCTACTGCGAGGAAGCGACGCGGACACTCACAACCACAAAAACCACTACGATTGCGCCCACACCTGTACCACCCACACCGGCACCACAACCCACACCTGAATATCTTCCTACACCTGCTCCCCTTCCAACGCCAGCGCCACCACCGCCAGAGAACAACCAGTTGAGCGCAGTGGTGGCAGTTCAGGCGATTGACTACGGACTTCTAGTGGCCAACAAAACGTTGAAAGAAGATTTCGAGGAGTCCATTATAGATGGCTTCTTGGATACCTTCCCAGCAGTGACCAGGGATCAGGTGGAATTGATTTTAAGCCAAGGTTCTGTCATTGTGGAGATCATTGTGAATGATTTGACCGAGGAAGGGGCGATAGAGCTTGCGACCCAGTACGAAGCGCAGGCCGAGGAAGGGCTGCTCAACACGAACCTGGAGGTCTTGCTTCAGAACGTGAGCGGCATCGAAGACGTCATCCTCGTCGACAACTCGACTGGCTCTCCATCCTTCTCGTTTTGGATCTCAAGGGAGGAAAAGCCACCCGGACTGGACAATTGGCGTTTACTACACGGCCTTGGGCGTTTACTAAACAGCCTTGCCCTGTTCGGTTCCTTCAGCGGGTGCGTTTAGTCAACGGCCTCGCTTGTCGGGGTGGTTATTATGGGGGTGGATGTTTTGCCCTCTAGGATCGAGAGCACGCCCTCCACCGTCAAGATCATCACCGTGACCTACACGACCACGACCTCCACCGCCACGGGGTGCCTCGTTATCGCCCCAGACGGCGCTTGGGGGCACAGACAGGGGAGCACTGGCTCTGGGAGGGGTGGCGTCGTCGTCGTCGTCGGCATCGTCGCCGTCGGCGTCGTCGTCGCCGTCGCCATCGGCGTCGGCGTCGTCGTCGGCGTCGTCGGCGGCGTCGGCGGCGTCGGCGTCGGCGTCGGCGGCGTCGTCAGCGGCGTCGTCGTCGGCGGCGTCGTCGTCGACGTCGTCGGCGTCGGCGTCGGCGTCGTCGTCGGCGTCGTCGGTGTCGTCGACGTCGTCGGCGTCGGCGTCGGCGTCGTCGTCGGCGTCGTCGGTGTCGTCGGCGTCGGCGTCGTCGTCGGCGTCGTCGTCGGCGCCGTCGACGTCGTTGGCATCGGGGGCTGCTCGCCGATCCGTCGGCGATGCCTCGCCGCTTTCCAGCCCACGCTTTCTCTCGGCGGCGAGCGAGGGTAGTAGGTTGTATTCAAGGGCATAACAAAACGCCCCTACCCTGGTTTACGGGGCGCTGTGCGCTGAAACTCCTGTGGGCTGACAGGGTAAACCCTGCGTGATTTGCCGCGTCCTGGCGGCTCGAGGCGTTGGGGGTTCCCAGGAGGTTTACAGACCACGCACTTGTAACCCAGGGTAGGGTCGTTTTTTCATCCCTCAATGTATGGAAGAAAAATCATGGGGAGGACGACGGCGACGCCGACGACGAGCTGTCGGTCGGTCGGTCGTCGTCGTCGTCGTCGGCGTCGTCGTCGGCGTCGTTGTGGTGCTCGTCGTCGTCGTCGTCGTCGTCGTCGTCGTCGTCGTCGTCGTCGTCGTCGTCCAGGAGGGGTTGTCGATTCTATGCTGATGCATCCAGGCCAGGAGGATGTATCAGGCCAGTCTCGCCTGATACGTCCTCGCGATTCTATTCCGGGAAGCTCCTTGCATCAATATTGGAGGGGTTGTCCGGCTTGTCCGGGGGGTTGTCCGGGGATTTTATCCGATGGGATTTTGTACAGTGAGCATAGTCGGGGAACGAAGAATGACAGGAACATAAAAGCTCTGAGGTCTGCGCGGATTTCTCGGGTCCGCGCTGGGCCCCCTGGCGGCGCCTCCAGCGCCGATCCGAGAAATCCGCGCGGACCTCCGAGTTTTTATGCTCATGTCATTCCTCGTTCCCCTAGAATTAAGTCGGGCCTGTCCCTCTACAGGAGGAGTATTCAAAAATAGGCAAGGCAAGGAATAGTCGAGGGATTTTTTTTTTGTATTTCGGGGCGTTTTGGGAGTATTTGTTTGACTATTTTTTATTTTTCATCCAGAATCCCCCTGTAGGGGGACACGCCCGACTTAACCCTAGGAGGGGGAAGGTGAGGAGGCGAAGGCCTTCTCAGAAGGCGGCGGGGCTTCTCGGAAGCCCTCGCGCCCTCCGGGGCCTTAGCCGCTCTGATGCGCACGCCTTGAAACGTAACACGTGCCGTGCTCAAAACGCCCGTGTTCCAAACGTGCGCGTTCCCCTGGCTCCTGATCCGCCGTACTTTGGATGATTTTCCGACCTGAAATTGTGTCGGAAATCGACGCCAAAGGAGCCTCAAGGGCGGAAATCGACGCTCAAAGGGGCCTCAAAAGTAGGGCGGAAATTTCCGCCCTACTTTCGAAATCGCCCAAAGTAGGGCGGATCAGGAGTCAGGGAAGCCCTCGCGCTCTCCGGGGCCTTAGCCGCTCTGATGCGCACGCCTTGAAACGTAACACGTGCCGTGCTCAAAACGCCCGTGTTCCAAACGTGCGCGTTCAGTCTACGCCCTGGCTCCTGATCCGCCGTACTTTGGATGATTTTCCGACCTAAAATTGTATCGGAAATCGACGCCAAAGGAGCCTCAAGGGCGGAAATCGACGCTCAAAGGGGCCTCAAAAGTAGGGCGGAAATTTCCGCCCTACTTTCGAAATCGCCCAAAGTAGGGCAGATCAGGAGTCAGGGAGGGGGGTCGGGGCGGGACCCGGGGCGGTGCCGCCGAAGCCCAAATCGCTTGGGACATCCTCGCAAAATCGCTCTTGGCGCTGCTAGAACTCCATCCCCGGCGTACATTTTGGATGCCCGGAGCCAACTGTAGGCCACTTCGTGGTCTTCGAGTTCCCAGAACTCCATTCCCGGGCCACATTTTGGATGCCCGAGCCAACTGTAGGCCACTTCGTGCTCTTCGATTTCCCAGAACTCCATTCCTGGGCACATTTTGATGCCCGGAGCCAACTGTAGGCCACTTCGTGCTCTTCAAGTTCCAGAACTCCAACCTGGGCATGGATTTGAATGCCCAGCCACTGTAGGCACTTCGTGTTCTTCTAGTTCCCAAGACTCCACTCCTGGGCCACATTGAATGCCGAGGCAGGCTGATGCTGCGGCCGAGGCAGGCTGAGGCTGAGGCAGGCTGAGGCTGAGGCCGAGGCTGAAGGCAGACTGAGGCTGAGGCTGAAGCAGGCTGAGGCTGAGGCTGAGGCAGGCTGAGGCTGAGGCTGAGGCAGGCTGATGCTGAGGCAGGCTGAGGCTGAGGCTGAGGCTGAGGCTGATGCTGAGGCCGAGGCTGAAGGCAGGCTGAGGCTGAGGCTGAAGCAGGCTGAGGCCGAGGCTGAAGGCAGACTGAGGCTGAGGCTGAGGCAGGCTGAGGCTGAGGCTGAGGAAGGCTGAGGGCTGGGCTGTGACTGCGACTGCCGTTGCCGCTGCGACTGTCACGCGAATGCGACTACGCGACTGCGAGAACAAGCAGAGTTCTACAGCTGGATTTTCTTCTGAATACTTTAAGGGAAATGCTTTCAGATATGCTCCTACACATCGCGTTAGGTTGCTTTGCCGGGGATAATTTTGTCAACACGGGGTCACTGAAGTCTCAGAACCCCACTCCCAGGACGGAGGAAAAGAGGAGGAGAGGCAGGAGGGGGAGGAGGGGGAGTCAGGAGGGGGAGGAGGAGGTCAAGAGTAGGAGGGGAGGAGGAGGATTTTCATCCTGAGTCGTCTGTTGAGGGTAGGAGAGGAGGAGGAGGAGGAGGAGGAGGAGGGGAGGAGGAGGAGGAGGAGAGCGGGAGGAGGACGACGACGAGGACGAAAGGAGGAGGGAGGAGGAGGAGGAGGAGGAGGAGGAGGAGGAGGACCCCCTCCCCCTCCAACTTATGGTGGTGGTGGAGCGGGCCCATCACCCGCCCCACCCCAGGTGGCGTCGCCCGAGCCCTGCCCCCGCCAACCGTCGCATCTCCTGAACCCGGCGGGAGGCGGGGACACACCTTAGGCGATGGTTAAGAAAACCCAAGTTTTCGGCCAGAGTCTCGATTATTCTTAATGTTTCCATGTAAATCCTAAGATTTCGATGGAAATTCTGGGCTTCTACTCAAGTTCTGAGACTATGAATTTCTTAACCCATGATTTCTTAAGCATTTCGCAGGGTGTAGGGCCCAGCCGTCGCCGCGCGCTCGACGCATCCCGAACCTCGCCCAAGCCGCCCATCGAGTTGCCCGAGTCGCTGATCGGCGAGGGTGCTCCAGGTCTCCTCCTCCTCCTCCTCCTCCTCTTCCTCCTCCTCCTCCTCCTCCTCCTCCTCCTCCTCCTCCTCCTCCTGCTCGACCCCGCCCAAGACGCCCGTCGAGTTGCCCGAATCGCTGATCGGCGAGGGTGCTCCAGGTCTCTCAGTACACGCCGGTCGCTGAAAGTAGGTATTTCTGGATGCCCAAATCCTAATCTACTTTAGGCGCCTTCCTACCTCAAGAGTCGAGCTGTTCTCCTTCTTTCCTCCTCTTCATGGGGCGGGCGGAAGTCCAATCTACTTCCAACGCCTTCCTACTTCATGTTTCTACCCACTTCTTCCGACCGGCGTGTAAGCGTGGGGGGTGGATCGCGTGGGGGGGTAGGAAACCGCTGTCCTTCGGGAGGCGTGGGGAGGTTGGGGAGCGAGAGGGGGGCGGGCAAGGGGCGTCGGACAGGTTGGCACGGGGGGGGGTGCTTGTTGAAGGATCTGGAGTAGGGTTCGAGGGTTCTGTCGCCGAGCCCTCTATCGTTCTGCCCCAGGCGGCGCCATGGGGGACTGCCCGGAGCTGCTTGAGGACCGCGCTTCTCTCAGGCGATCGCAAACATGGATCAGGGGGGCGTGGATTAGCTACGGGCCCCGTTTCCAAGGGAAATCGCGAATTTCCGCCGCCGAGCGGGGCGGTACCGGCCGCATCTTGGCGAGGGCATTTCCGCCGATCCACGGATTTGATGACCGCTCGCCAAGCCCATGGATCGCTAATCCATGTTTGCGCGCCCCCTCCTCCTCCTCTCCTCCTCCTCCTCCTCCTCCTCCTCCTCCTCCTCCTCCTCCTCCTCCTCCTCCTCATCATCATCATCATCATCATCATCATCATCATCATCATCATCCGTAGCCATTTTGGCTCAAGATGGCGCGATCAGGGCAGATGTCTGGTCCCATGTGGCTGGCTCTTGCCGTCGCGTCTCTTCTTGGGTCAGATTCCAATTCGACCAAGCTTTCAGCGAGGCCTCGGAGGCCACAGCTCTCTCATATCCATAACCTTTCCGACACTCGGCCCCAGTGCCAGTCGCCCGATTGGGAGCCCAGCCGCGGCGGGCTCGACCAATGGCAGGACTCGGAGGTGGTGATCGAGGCGGCGCGCGCGGAGGCGGCGGCCGAGGAGGCAGCGGTCGAGGACGACGGGGTGGTCAGCAACCAGGCAGCGGTGGCGGCGGCCCCCCGAGGGTCTGGGATTGCCCGAAGTGCGGAGCCAAGAAGAACTGGGGCTCCAGGCACGTCTGTCGCAGCTGTGGATATGACTGGTGGGAAAGCGGCTCTGGGACAAGCTCATGGTGGAGTGGCATGTCGCCACTGGACGCCAAAGAACGCCATGAGCTCAACCAGCTGCGCAGGCAGGTCAAGAAGCTGGAGAACAGTCAGTCCCCAGGCCAGGGCGGCGACGGAGGCGGAGCAGCAGCGGCAGCCGGTGGGCCGCAGTCTGCGGAGAAGACAGACCGTGTCCGCCGTCTGGGGAAGCTACGCAGCGAGATCCAACGGCTCGGTGGGGTGGAGGGCGCAGAGGCGATCGTGGAGGCTACGCGTCAGGAAGCGCAACAGCTGGAACACGAGCTCGCCGAGGCCAAGCCCACATCGGTCCAGCTCAGCGAGCTGGAACGCAAGCAGAAGAACCAGCAGAGCACCACCGAGGCGCTGGGGAGCAAGATCGCGGCCGCCACCAAGCAGATCTCAGATCTCCAGGGCCAGAAGCTCGAGCTGGAGGGCAAGTACGAGCAGAGCAAGGCCACCGAGAAGGAGCTGCAGGCGCTCATCGACAATCTCCTGGCCAAGCAGCTCCGCGAACGGGACGGCCCCCCTCGTGAGGCTGCGCTCGGCGGAGGGGCCGCCCCCGCTTCTCCTGGTGCACCGCTCAGCGAAGGCGAGCAGGCGACCGCGTTCCTGGCGGCACTCAACCAGGCCTCTGGCATGCTCGCCCCTGGCTTCGCCGATCAGTGGGAGGGCCGGGTCGCCGAGCTCCGCCGCCTGGCGGAACGGGTGGCAACAGCAGGAGCCGCGGTCGAACGTGACGGCGGTGAAGAGCAGGAGATCGACGAGGCTGACATCTCCAACTTCCTGGAAAGCATGGAGGCAGACGCCTCGGAGGAGGACGCCTCGGACGGCGCTGGCGGAGAGGGCGGCGGCGGTTCCCCCGCCGCAGACCCCGCGGCGCAGGCTGCCGCCAAACGCAAGCAGCGGGCCCAGAAGCTCCTCCAAGGCCTTCGGTCCGCGGGGATCAGGAGAAGGGGGAAGCGGGGGTAGCAGGCCCATCTTCACGGTAGTCAGCCTCAACGGCAGCGGCTGGGGCCCCTTCCACTACCATCCCTGGCGCGCAGCAGGGCCCCCAGCAGCAGGAGGTCGCCGAGGCCCACATCGGCGACGCGATGTGCTTCCAGGAGCACCACCTCAATGGCTACCGCGCCGAGGAGCAGGAGCAGTGGTGCAGGCAAGTGGGCTGGGGCGCTGTGCTGACCCCTGGCGTCGGCACCATGGGCGCTTCGCAGCAGCGCGTCGTCAGCGGCGGCACTGGCGTTGCCGCGCGCACAGCACGCGGCACGCGTGGCCCAGGCGCGCAGGGCAGCAAGTCCAGCTGCCACGTCGTCGACGGCAGGGCTTTTTTTCACACATCAACGGGGTAGTGCCTGGCGGCTTCCTGCTGGGCTCGATCTACCTGGACAACGATGGCGTCGGCGAGAACAGTAAGTACGTGCTGCAGGAGGTTGGCGTGCTCCTCAAGCGCACGGGCAAGCCGCGGGTCCTCGCTGGCGACTGGAACGTCGAGCCCGACAGGTTCCACCAGCGCGCGGGCAACTGGCTATGCAAGATAGGGGGGCACGTAGTCGACACGGGCGAGGGCACCTGCCAGCGCTCCCTTGCCAAGGAGCCGTCCGAGCTCGACTGGTTCATCGTCAGCGCCGAGCTGCTGGACCGTGTCGTGGACTGCTCGCGCCTCGACATGACGGCCAAGGGGTACGCCAGCCCGCGCAGGCCCCACATGGCGGCCAAGCTCAGCCTCACCTGCTACGGCGACCTGGGCCAGTCGTTCAGGGTCAAGGGGCCGATGGCGTTTCCCAAGGTGAGGCCCTTCGGACCCATGCTAGAGAAGCAGTGGGACCACAGCCCCGTGAGGGCGCAGATCGACATGGGCAGCGACATGCAGGCCATTACCGAGGCGTACCAGGCCCTGTGCGAGAGCGTGGAGGACGAGTTAGTGTGGGCGTACCAGATTGAACCCGATGACGCCAGTTTCTACCGTGGTCGAGGGGGCTCGCCGTGCTTCAGTTTCGGCTATCAGGCGCGCGCGAGGCCCATCAAGGGCCCCAAGGCCAGCTTCAGGGGCAAGAAGCTGATGCACCTTAGCGACTACTTCACGCAGTTGAGGTTTCTGCTCAGGAGACCGGTTTCCAGGCGGCCAGTCCGAGGTGAAGGTGTCGCTTTCGCAAGGGTGGGCCCTGGGGGCGACGGGCTCGAGGGCGACGGCCGCGGCAGCTCGGGCCTCGCTCCTGAGCCGCAGGCACCAGCCATGCGCGCAGCCATCCCCCACGCTTCGCCCATGGGGGGGTGGGGCGCCATTGGCGTCGGCGTAGCAGGGGCGCGTCGAACCCTCCAGCGCTTGAGCCGTGGATGGCCCCCGAACCTGCACTCCTTGGAGATGGGGCAGGATAAGGCAGAGTGGATGGATCTGTGCACCCACTACGCCTACGCGCGCCCCAGCCAGTACGAGAGCGACGGTGGCGACCAACCAGGGCCCCGTGGCAACGCAGATGACGGACCCGGAGGGGCTGGACTGGGAGTCGCATCTGAGGCAGCAGCACCAGCACCAGCGGCAGGGGTTGGAGGGGGAGCCGCATCAGCGGAGGGCATCAGCGTGATCCCACTCCAACCCTCAAAGGCAGCGGCGGCGCAGCCCTTTGGCGAGCGAGCGGCAGCCCGTTGGGCCCGCGCCGTGGCCATCTGCGAGGACAGCTGGATGGCATCCGCGGACGTGCGCAACGAATACGCGTGCAGCGTGGGCGCCTTGGAGGCCAGCGACCCCGTCGCGTGGGCCATCGCCGATGACGCGCACAACAGCTACATCCTGGGCGTCAGGCAGTTCTTGCGGTACCACGGTGGCGTGGCAGACGGCAGTGGCGACAGCGCAGACGGCGATTGCAGCAGCGACGGCTCACGCAGTGGAGGCAGCCGCACAGACAGAGGGGCTCCGAGGCCACCCTCCGAAGTAGGCCTCCCACTCGGCGCGCAGTGGGCCGCGCGCGTCAGCTTGGCAGCTGACTGCCCAGGCATCCCCCCCCTGGAAGAGTGGGCTGCCCAGGCCAGGGCCGAGGCCGAAGCAGAAGAGCAACCTTTGCGGCCATCCGTGGCAAGGGCTTCAAGGAGTTGATCAAACACTCCGTCGTGGAAGGAGCGGGCGGCCTGCACGCCTACAGGCGAGGCCCACGGGCATGGGCTCCTGACGACGAGTTTCATGGGGCGCCTGCGCACGCTCCCGATAGGGTGAAGGTAGTGGCAGCACAGTGGTCGACTGAAGTGTGGCGGGTCAGGGGCGGCGGCGGCAGGTTCCGCCCTCGGCCACCTCCTGCCGATGGCGAGGCCCTGCCAAGGCCGTCGCCAGGGCAGGTCCGATCGGCAGCACGGACCTTCAGGCATGGTACGGGCGTCGGCAGCGACCGCCTCAACCCCAGGAAGGCTGCGGACCTCAGCGACGAGCTCCTCGAGGCCGCCATTGACTTCGGCATGAAGTGCGAGGAGCTCGGCGGTTGGCCCGACGTCATCACCGACTCGCTGGTGGTCATGCTGCCCAAGCCCCAGGGCGGCTTTCGGCCCATTGGGCTGCTGGGCTGGCTCCCTCGCCTGTGGGGCCGAGTTCGGCAGCCTGAGGCGCGGCGCTGGGACGCGGAGATCGACCCAGGCGTCGCTGGTACATTCTGGGGCGGCCGCGGGCGCGCGGCCGAGGAGGCCCTCTGGTGGCAAGCGATGCGGCCGGAAGCGGCGCATGCACGAGGTGAGGGCGCAGCGGCGGCGCTCATCGACTTCTGGAAGGCGTACGAGCTCGTCGACCTGGCCATCATCCAGGATCGCGGCATCCTCGCGGGCTATCCGAGGGGGATGCTCGGCATGGCCCTCACCTTGTACGCAGGCGAGCGGCGGTTCATGCTGGACGGCACCGTATCAGAGGCCTTCCTGCTGGACGCGGGCCTCATCGCAGGCTGCTCGCACGCTGGGCGGTTACTCAAGTGCGGCTTGCTCGTGCTGGCCGACGAGCACGCGAGGCTACGGCGGGCATTGGAGCCGAGGGTCACCCTCGCGATCATGTTCGACGATTGCTGTGTCTGGTGTCATGGCCCAATGGCGCAGGTAGCCGCATACATGGCACAGGCCACCAGGGCAGTGGTCGCTCAGCTGGAGGCGCTAGGCTGCAAGGTTTCCGAGGCGAAGAGCGAGCTGCTCGCGAGCTCGCCCGCGCTGGCCTCCGTGGTCGCCAAGCAGATGGGCGGCATGGCCTTTCCCATCGCGGATTCGGTCAAGAACCTAGGGGTGGACTA